GTATTCACTACCCTTACACTTGACGCGAGACACTACCATGTCTCTTGATTATATACTTACATAAAAACGTGGAACCGTAATATAATGTTAACGCAAAAAGTGTTAAACTTCATAGAACTGATATCTCCAATTATTTTCACCGGTTAAATAAAATAAGTGGTCAGTTTTGCCTTTGCAATTCTACAATGTATCTTACTACCCTATCTTATCCTATAGTTTTAGAAATTTTGCTTGATTTATAAAGCGATCAGCATTGTGTGTGTGTGTGGGTGTACGTGCAGTGTACAGTCGCAGTTATAGACCTTTCCGATCACAAAGAGTCCGTTGATGGAAACGCGAGTCATTACTCATAAATATGTGATTGCGCGGTACTGTGGAATATATCCCATTGTTTTTTTTTCGTTGTGCTACTTTCCTTTTCGAAAATCTTTTCAAAGGAATACGCAAATGCCGTTTCAAAGAAATAAACTGTGCGATTAGAATATTCGACGAGTATCTGATCGTTTCAAACTCCTTTGGTTTCTCAATACAATATGTCTTTCTTTGACAATCGCTACTATTATCTCAATAAAATGTTCCCGTCCGTAATCGGCAAATGGCCATGTCAGTCGCGACTGGAGGGTAACATGATGTTCGCCGTTACATCTCTGTTCATTTTCAGTGCGACAGCCTTTGAGGTATTTAAAGATGCCTATATAGAAATACGTTAGAATTCAAACTGACTGAATTTGTTTCTAATTTTCGGCAGTTTTGGGACTTAGCAGCTGGGATAACAGATCTGAGCATCATCATGGAAAATACGTCGCCGTTACTGGTGAACAGCTCATTAACTGCCTGTTCACTAATTATAAAGTTCGTACCTTGCCTTCTGCCGCATGCGAAGCTAATCAGATCGTTCTGTGAATGTATACCGAACGGTTTCTTCGAGCTACAGATGAAAGAGCTTCTGGAGGATATCAAAGACACGTGGAAGATGAAACATGACGGTCCAGAGAAAGATATATCACAGCATTATGCAGAGGAAAGTAGAACCTTTGCGTTACGATACGCGAGTAAGTTGCATTTATTTTATAACAATTAGTTTGTTTTTTCCTATTGGACAAATAATGGCAAATCTGACAATATACCGGGTGAGACGATAACTTTGTCCGCCTAGAATATCTCAGCTATTTTTAGAGATATGAAAAAATTATAATTATGAAAGTATATTGTAACATACACCAAATTTTCATACACAAAAATTTGCAATAATAGGAACACTATTGCAACAGCATATTCCTGAGACCAAATCAAGTATAAAAGTTCTGTACTACTTTCCCCTCTGGCAAACAGTTATCGAGATATCATGAATTAAATATTGAAAAGTTATCAATTTTCTTTTGAACATGTCAAAAAATATTAGGCAAATAAAAAAATGTTTCAGACAACAGTTGTTCATTAGTTAGTAGAATAACCAATGTAAAAAAACAGAAGATAGTGTAATAAACAAAAGGGATTTTACTTACAAAATTGAAAGTAATCTTGAAATCTCCGAAGCGCCTCTACTTTTTGAAAAAATATTACTAACATGTTATGGCTCCCTTGATATAGTACAACTTTCGTAATTATAATTTTTTCACATTTCCAAAAATAGCTGAGATATTCGAGGTAGACAAAGATTATTGCCTCACACTGTATAAGAAGATAACATTACTTCTTAAATATCACAAACCTCCCCCTCTCGATTTGGTTTTCTATTTACTATTATTATTAGTTTAAAATATTTTTTCACTTTTCTTCCTTTTTTCCAAACTATCTTCAAAATTATTATAATTAGAACATTACAATTTTGTGTTTAAAGTTGCACTTAAATTTTATTTCATTTAGTGGACTTGTAAATTAACAGCCCACTGTTTTTCCATTTAAAAAAATATTGTGACTTTTAAAGCAATGTAAAAAAACAGAAGTGACTTATTCCAGTTGCTCTTTATGCAACATGGCTTTTTTACTCTATGACACCAGTCGTCATTAACAGAATTTATACGATCTTACCGACAAATAAAACATACACGGCTAGATTCCTATATCGCATGGAACATGTTCTTGACATGGACAAATATTTCAACCTGATGATGCTTCATGGTTTCATCAGCACATTCTACATAGTCTCTGTACCGATAACTATCGATTCCACGTTCTCACTTTGCACTCAGTATGACTGTGCATTATTCGCATATATACGGTGAGTTGTCTTCGCGAGAAAAGCTGCATCAGGAGAATTTTGTTTTAAGATTAGTGGTATCATAATTTTGTTACAAATAGGTATAACATAGAGCGCATACAAGGCTCGGACTTAGTATCGCTCGAGCCAAATATTGAAGATGATGAAGTATATCGTAACATAATTGCCTGTATCAAATCTTATAAACGTGCGTTAAAGTTAGTATGAATGTCACTTTCTAGTATGTCTTGCACAATTAATATGTCAGTACTCACCCACGGTCTTACATACAGGTCTGGATTCTGGAAACGAGATTAGATTGAAATTTGATCAATCAGAGTAAAATTCGCTAAACTTGAGATTAGTAGACTTTATTCTGATTGGTCAAATTTCAATCTAATCTCAATCTCAATTCGTAGTCTTATACGGGCTTTAAGGAGGTGGTTTTTCACTCGCGCTATCGTCACAGTGCGTTGCTGTTGTTGAAGGATGTGGTCGCAACTACGGAATACAGAACTGTGAAAGACAAAGCCATATGCTACTTCTGTATCTGTCGCACATGACATCCCCCTCTACCTATAGCGCGAATTGCAGCTGAAAATCGAAGTAAAAACGGGAACGTTAAGAGAGTCAACCCTCACCACTGTCGTTTCCAGACTTGTATGTAAGACCGTGATACTCACAAATATTTCTAAAACACTTAACTTCTTGGTAACATTCAAATCAAATTAAATGACATTCATTAAATATTAGATTTAACAAAAATCCTAATTTGATTAAATTTCTTTAAATAGAAAATATTTCTATTTCATTATTTTACGTATAGACTTTCCGATGATGTGCTCTCATCTAACTATGCAATATCATTTCTCTTTCTACTGGGAAATGTAATTATATGTTTAAGTTTTGGCTCGGCTGAGGTAAACATCCGCATTAAATATAGAAGCTTTAAACAGCTAATAATTGGTTTATTCATATGGAAAATGCCTAATATAGTTGTATGTTTAAGTTGATAATGGTAGACAATCAACTGGACGAAATTATCAGAATTCTCTCTACTAATTTAGCGCAATTACTACATGTATTTTGACTGAGTATGATTTCTGAAAGATTGATTGATCACAGTAGCGGACTTCAAGACATAATGTATGCATCTATTAGTAGATATAAACAGTCCATGTGCTAAAAGATCATAAGATTCACAAAAGTCATGTCAAATATAAAAAGATATATTTTATAATTTAGCTCTCTTATGATTACACAAGCCAACAAAAATAACTGTTTTTCATACCCAAATCAGATTAGATAATCCCGAAGATCTTTTGTGCACTGAACACGAATGCGTTGTTCATTTCACTCTACTTAGAAATACATTGCGCAAATACTTATTAATGTTTGTTGAAAGGTATCCATTTCTGCATATGTTGTTCGAAATGTGTACGCATTATTCCTGCATTCTAAGTTTTATTCAGATGTCGTCACATAATTTGCTGAATATTTACTTACGGTGGTATAAGATACCACAAATGGTAATAAGCAAAAAATTTTCCTCTTCGTGTGACATAAATTCAAATATGCCTCAAAATGGCCTTTTTCGCACATTTAAGTTAGAATATCTCAAAATTCTGACGTACTAGGGAAAATCGAACAGCGGATTCGTGTTCAGCATACAAAAAACCTTCGTGTTTAACTATTCTAATTTTGAGATGTAAAATTTGTCGGCCTGTGTTATTAAACAATTTGAAAGTTAATACCGTTATTTTGTAAACAAACAAAAATTATATAAAAAATTAATGTATTTGCAGTTACAACTGCGACTGGTATAAGATTTCATTAAGATCGAGACATGTCTTAAGATTTACATTGTTGCGTACTACTAGGCTGTGCCAAATAAACGCTGGTAAAATTTTTGTAATGTCGATGGAGAACGTCAGCTCCGTACGTACAAACTTAATATTTTATTGATTTTTAAAATTACAAATATTATTGTGATATTGTTTTTAGATCTAACAAGTATCTTTATCATATTTCACGATGCTGACGTCACTACAATAAAAATCGTAACGAAATTTATAATGGAATTGTAGTTTCTGGGGACATATTCACATAATTGTTTTCGCTACATATGTATATCAAATCTCATTTTCTATATTAAATATCATATACACATACATATATAATATATAAATTCATACATTTCTCTAATGCACTAACAAGGGAACCTCGCGAACCCGAAAATTCCAATCGAATCAAAAAGTTTACCTTTTGGTTACTAATTGATCAAGTAATTTAACAAATTCTTTATTTTGATTACTTAATGAGTGATAAACAAATTTTTTATTTCGATTGCTGATTAATCAATTAATGGGAAAATATTTTTCTGATAAGGAATTAATTAAACAATCAAGTAGTATTTATTATTTTTATTATTGATTAACATTACTATTAATTTTGTATCTGTCTCTATTATCGGATCTCAATAACTGCTGAACTGATCAACGTCTAAGGCTCAATTGATAGTTTTGTACTTACACGATCGTAATTACTTCTTAATATTGTTCTATGTCACATGCCCCTTTTAAATCAAACATCCATCACTGCATAAATAGATCAACCAAACATCAAATTATAACTATTAATCACATTCTAAACGATAATGTTTTTCTATTTCGTAGTAAAAAAAATATACATTTATATTAAATGAATAAACTATAATCGGCATATGTCACCAACCGGGCTATGCGACGTATATATGTATAACTGTCGTACATAACTGTATCTCGTCTGTTTTATAAAAGCGGATATGCTATGCAAAACATAAGCGTTACCGCAGTATAACTTTACACTGCAATATCGAAGACAAGCGAAATTAAAATTGTAAGACTTCTCGCATATTGTCCGGTTGTAGAAGGCGTTTCCCCTTATTACTGATTCTATTTCAATCGGCACGTTATAACGTATATTTCTTGGCCAACGTATTGAAACCCCAAGAGAATGTCGAATGAATATCGTGCAGTTGACGGAAGTTCTACTTTGAGTTGTTCAAGAATTCTGCTTCAACACAAAGTAGCCAATGGACATCTATGATACCCGATATTTTCGAACTAACAAGCTGCTGCTGTCGGTTCTTGGGCTGTGGCCGACGCAGTCTAACAAAAGCACCTTTTTTTATTCTGCTATAGTTGCTACACATATTGTACTCTTACCGCAGGTATCTCGCACATTATTAAGGACTAGAAAGTCGTAAAAGGATTAATAAGAATCTCTATAATACGCAGTGGCGTGCAACACGCTCAATAGCTAATACTATATTCAGTTTATAATTCAGTTTATAAATATTAAAATAATGTTTGTGAAATAAAATGTTTATATCATATTACCACGGATGTTAAGTTGCCACCTATGAAAGCGTAAACTTTACTTTTTATTTGTACAAAGGGCGACAAAAATCATTAACTGACCGGAAACTTTTGCACGCCACTGTAAGTTTTCTGAAATTGTTGGCAATTTTTACGTCACTTGAATTATTCTATGCAGTTAATTCAAGTCATGCATCCTACATTAAACAAAACAAAAAAGACACGATACATTAATTACAATTTATTAATAGATCGCATTCTTGTTTAACTGCATGAAAAGTGTGAATGATTTTTATGATACTCTACCAACTTTAATTGGCGTAACTATATGTATTATTAAATTAATTGGTCTCCATTGGAAAGCTGACACAGTAAGTGTGTAAAGTGTGCTACAATGCAGAAAATTACTTTTTTGTGTAAGAAAACTTGGCATATCTCCAGTTTAGGGAGCTGATTGAGCATGTGCGTTACGATTGGTATTTATTGGCGAAACATCGTGATATGTGGATTTTAATAGAATATATCGAGACGAGTCGGATATTCACACGGGCTTATTTACGTACGCCTAACAATAAGTATACCGAACGTTTGATCCCCTGAATAATTATACAAAGAGAGACTATTCCTTTTTACCAGTTTTTGCAGGCTCGACTGCAGCAAGTATGGTGACGGCGCCACTCACCATATCATTAGTCGATATCATATTGGCGTTAAACGTAACAAGAACAAAGCAAATGCCGCATCCAGTCGAGTTCTTTGTGGATATAGATAAGCATTATTATTTTCTTCTGGCAATTACATTTATAGGATACGCTGCAAGCTGTACGACAGTGATAGCAATCGATACCTTCTATTTCGCGATACTACAACATGCCTGTGGTTTATTAGCTATATTGAGGTACCTTACTTTTATTCTAATTTGTCTTTACAAAAAATATTTCTTCCATGTATATATATATATGACTTTATATACTTCCAGTTATCGTTTAAAAAACATAGCTGTAAATGATAAACCTGAACATATCGATCCTAATCCAGTATCTAAAGGGGATAGAGATGTTAAGGACATGGTACAATGCATAAAGTTGCAAATTAGAATAGAGAGGTTCATATAAATCATACCAATCATACTATAAGGTTTACCAGAAAATATTATAAATATACTTAATACACAGATTTTTCTATCTCTATTTATTGTTAATAGACTAATCCATCTGATTGAGTCAGCGTTTGCCGTATGTATTTTTAGCGACATTGGCTTGGGAATATTACTTCAATGTTCTTCATGCGTTATGGTACATACATAATAAGTTCTGGATACACAATTTATATGTATTTAATAAATTGTTGATCCGCCATGTATATTGCGAAAATATTCTCTTTTATATTGACCAAATAACCAATTTTGTATTTTGTGCCTTATTATGCAGATCGTAACTCAAATGCAAATACTAAAAAACGGTCCTCTCCTGGTTCTTCAATGTTCTCGATTTTTACTTAGCAGTTGGATTGGACAGAGGATAATAGATCACAGCTCTGAGATACCTGTTTCAGCGTATGTTATTAATTTCTTTCCTTAATCAAACGACCTCGTGATTTGAAAGTTATAATATATTTTCAGGTATAATGGACTGTGGTATCAAACTTCTTTAGCAACAAAAAAAATGTTGCTATTTCTACTAATAAAATGTCACGAGTCATATCGCATAACTATGGGGAAATTATACATAATTTGCTTGGAAAGTTACACCGCGGTATGATACAGTTCAGTTTATTAATAACAGCGATAAAAAGAATTTGATCTAAAATCTATTCGAATAATCTATTTTGGAAAATGATATTTAAAACATACAAACATATAAAAATATTCTATTAAATTTTGTGTATTCATAATTACATGTAAAAAATGTATATTTAATATTACATAACATTTTTAAGCTGATGAAAACGTCTGCTTCCTACGTTACGTTAATGGTATCATTAAACCCTGAGAACGTGTAATTATTCGCATTATACGGAATGTGGTTTATGCGAAATGTGGTTCACTTTGTGCAGCATATTATTAAAAGTGTAATTATGAATAAAAGTATTTTTGCCGTCAATACATTGTTGTCAATATATATAACATACTATCGAAAATTTTCATATTTGCAAATGTATAACATTTTTTATTTACTAATTAATTTCTAGTTAAGTATTTATCTTAATGTAATTACGTCTTTACAATAATTTTGTTTCTAAATCTTTAATTTATTTATCAATTACCGGAAGGACTATAGAAAAATTCAAGTAGATTGTGTCGTTAATTTTATTATAATATAAATATACAGGGTGATTCAAAATAACCTTCTGTTCCTAAAAGTACATTTAGGATAAAGACTTTCAGACAAATTTTCATCTTGAAAAATTTGACTGGGCTTAGTTTTAGGTTATTAATAAAAATTCGTACCCTATGACTAGAGACCCTCTAATCGAAGTCTGGCCATAAGGAAGCCCTCTGTAATTGGTCCGCTATTTTTCGTCAATTCGCGTCAGTTTTATACTTATTAATGCAAAGCAAGGTTCCACATGGATTTTACTGCAATGTGTACATAATGTCACGTGTGCAATCTGCATATGCATAATAAAGTAATGTGTACAACGTGTATGTACGTGCGCAAGAATGTCATGTGGATAAAAGATTATTTTGAGTCGCCTTTGTGCTTGCATAAAAAAGTAGAAACGTAATATAACAATAACGCAAAAAATTTTGAACTTCATAGAACTGATTTCTCCGATTATTTTCAACCGTTAAATCAAATAAATGGTCAGTTTTACGTTTGCAATTCTACAATGCGTATCTCACTACCCTTTATCTTAAAGTTTTAAAAATTTTGCTCGATTTATAGAGCGATGGGTATTGTGTGTGTATGTGTGTGCAATGTACAGTCGCAGTTATAAACCTTTCCGATCACAAAGAGTCCGTTGACGGAAACGCGAGTGATTATTCGAAACTATGTGATTGCGCGGTACTGTGGAATATATTCTGTTGCTCTTTCGTTGTGCTACTTTCCTTTTTGAAAATCTTTTCAAAGGAAATACGATTTTAAAGAAATTAACTCTGCGATTAAAATATTCGACGAGATATCTGATCGTTTTAAACTCCTTTGGTTTACTCAATACAATATGTCTTTCTTTGACAATCGCTACTATTATCTGAATAAAAGGTTCCTCTCCGTAATCGGTCTGTGGCCATTTCAGTCGCGACTGGAGGCTAACATTACGTTTGCTCTTGCAGCAGTGTTTATTTTCAGTTTGACAGCCTTTGAGGTATTTAAAGATACGTATACAGGAAAACGTTAAAATTCAAACTGGCTGAATTCGTTTCTAATTTTCGGCAGTTTTGGGGCTTAGCGGCTGGGATAACGGATCTGAGTATCATCATGGAAAATACGTCGCCGTTACTGGTGAACAGCTTCATCATCATGAAGTTCATTAACTGCGTGTTTACTAATTATAAAGTTTGTACCTTATATTCTTTCGCGTGCGAGGCTAATCAGAACGTTCTGTGATTGTATACCGAACTGTTTCTTCGAGCTACAGATGAAAGTGCTTCTGGAGGATATCGAAGAGACATGGAAGATGAAACATGACGGTCCAGAGAAACAGATATTACAGCATTATGCAGAGGAAAGTAGAACCTTCGCGATACGATACGCGAGTAAGTTGCCTTTATTTTATAACAATTAGTTTGTTTTTCCTATTGGACAAATAATCGCAAATCTGGCAACATATAAGAAGATAATATTACTTCTTAATATCACAAACCTGCCCCTCTCGATGTGATTTTCTATTTATTATTATTATTATCAGTTAAAAATATTTTTTATCGCTTTTCTTCCTTTCTTTCAAACTACCTTCAAGAAGATTATACTTAGAACATTGCAATTTTGTGCTTAAAGTTGCATTTAAAGTTTCTTTTATTTAGCGGACTTCTGGATAAATAGCTTTTCTATTTAAAAAAAATATTGTGTCTTTTAAAGCAATGTAAAAAAACAGATGTGTCTTATTCCAGTTGCTCTTTATGCAACGTGGCTTTTTTACTCCACGACGCCAGTCGTCGTTAGCGGAATCTATACGATCTTACCGATAAATGAAACATACACGGCTAGGTTTCTATATCGCTTGGAACATGTTCTTGACATGGACAAATATTTCAACCTGATGATGCTTCATGGTTTCATCAGCGTATTCTACATAGTCTCTGTACCGATAGCAATCGATTCTATATTCTCAGTTTGCACTCAGCATGTGTGCGCATTATTTACATGTATACGGTGAGTTGTCTTCGCGTGAAAAGCTGCAGCAGAAGGATTTTGTTTTAACATCAGTGATATCGTAATTCTGTTACAAATAGATACAACATAGAGCGCATACAAGGCTCGGACCTAGTATTGCCCGAACCAGATATTAAAGATGATGAAGTATATCGTAACATAATTGCCTGTATCAAATCCTATAAACATGCGTTAAAGTTAGTATGAATGTCACTTTCTAGTATGTCTTGCGCAATTAATATGGCAGTATTCACCCACGGTCTTACTTACAGTAACATTCAAATTAAGTTAAATGACGTTCAGGTTAAATATTTGATTTAACAAAAATCCAATTTTTATGAAATTTATTTAAATAGAAAATATTTATATTTCATTATTTTATGTATAGACTTTCCGATGTGCTCTCATCTAACTATGCAGTATCATTTCTCTTTCTACTGGGAAATATAATTATATGTTTAAGTTTTGGCTCGGCTGAGGTAAACGTCCGCATTAAATATAGAAGCTAATAATTTGTTTTTCATATGGAAAATTCCTAATATAGTTGTATGTTTAAGTTGATAATGGTAGACAATCAACTGGACGAAATTATCAGAATTCTCTCTGCTAATTTAGCGCAATTACTACATGTATTTTGCCTGAGTCTGATTTCTCAAAGATTGATTGATCACAGCAGCGGACTTCAAAACGCAATGTAAGCATCTGTTAGTTATGTTGAAACAATCCATGTGCTAAGAGATATATTACATTTATAAAAGATATGTCAAATATCTGAAAAGATATATTTTATAATTCTGCGCTCTCTTATGAATATTAAACAATTTGAAAGTTACTGCCGTTATTTTGTAGGCAAGCAAGAATTATATAAAATTTATGCAATTACAGTTACAACTGCGACTGGTATAAGATTTCATTAAGATCAAGAGGTCTCTTAAGATTTACATTGTTGCGTACTACTAGGCCGTGCCAAATAAAAGCTGGTAAAATTTTTGTAATGTCGTTGGAGAACTTCAGCTCGGTACGTACAAACGTAATAATATTTCATTGATTTTTTGAAATTAAAAATATTGCGATACTTTTATTTTTAGATCTTACAAGTATCCTTATCGTATTTCACGATGCTGACGTCACTACAGTAAAAATCGTAACGAAATTTATGATGGATTTATATAGTTTCTGGGAATATTTTAACATCATTATTTTCTCTATATATGTATATCAAATCTTATTTTCTATATCAAATATAATACATATATACATATTTAAATTCATTCATCTCTCTATTGTAAGTAAAATATGTTCTTCAAGAAGTTATTTTTGTGATTATATTGATTATTTCTTTTACACGAAATACGATCATAATGAAACAAATGATAAATCATAATGTAATAAATAAACAGAAGTAAAAAGTCCGTAAAAGCTTGTGTATTACCAGTTGGTATATTAGATAATTAATTCGGACAAAGCAAAAGATTAAGACCTTTACACCGGATGCAGTTACGAAAAATGTAAGGTGAAAATGAAAAGTTTAAAAGTATTCAAGTGTGGTCAAGAAATTCAGCGTATTGGTTTGCTCATACCAAATAGAATTTTCTAATTGCAAAGAGCATATTGTAAATCAGGCTAGATAAAGTCCTAATAAAAATTTACTTTTAATTGCAAGAACTTCGTTCAACACGTCACATATCAAATAGTTAAAGCACTCGATTCAATATTTCGTGTACTATTTCTCGTTTTCAGCCTAGAAACAGCCGACAAATTATACTTGAAACGACGAGAGACTCACTGCGATGTTACGAAATGTATCCGAATACAAGCATCATTTAAAGACGTTTTTTTTATCGTCAATTATCGTCCGTAATTATCGCAGTGAAGAAATAATTTCAAGTTCGCTAGCGCTTTAATTCTTGGATGTATAGATCTCATATGTAAATCGCGCTAGATATTTGTCTTGCTGGCTAACCGAACATCGATGGCAAATCGCGGGGATTCAGCGATCACGCGATGATATCGATCACCAATTATTTACAGAGAGCGATTGCGATTTCTTCCTGTACTTGTCGCGAACGCGTATCAAGAAAGTATAATACGATATGCAGAGCGGCGCGGGTATAATCGATTTATTCGATTGTCACCGAGTGTATGATCCTACGTACGGCGTCACCTTGTTTCGCCGAGCGCCGTAGACCGACCTTGGATTCCAAGAACTGTGACGTAGCGTTGTAAATAACTCGGTGAAAAACCGCGCGCCGAGAAATGACGTAGCGCGGACACCTCGATCGAAAACAAATCTATTGTGCCGAATTAGTCGACGCGCTCAGTTCGAACGAGACGGTTGTTCCGCGTGTCTTCGCGTCGCTCGTCGTAACGCGATCGTTTCCTACGAGAATCTCGATCGTCTCGTACGAGAGTTGATAACATTTATCAATTGCGTTTAAGTAATTACTGTGATCCGCAAACATATTTCTACGGCGATTTGTTTCTACGCGTATAACATCAAGTTTCCATTTTCGTCGCGTTCGGGAGTGCCGTTTAGATATTCGAACCAAAGACTTTTCAAAGCCCATTTGAGGAACAAGTATTCCTTAAATGTCCGTTCCTGTCGATGGCCACACTTCCGAGATTTGGCAGTATTTGTGGTATAATACTCGTCGACTCGAAGTGGAGGCGAACTTGACGGAACAGAATACCTTCACATGGGCTTATAAACGGGAGTGTAAAATCGCGCGAACGATCTTTGTGTTTTCGCGAGTGTGTGCCCAGAGGACTATCTGAGTGGAGGAGGAGGCCCGGAGAGGCATCGGGCGCCAGCGGAGCAACTTTACGGTAAGTTTTTGTTATTCAGTGTAAAATTACTATTTTTCCAGCTCACTTTCGAGTCGTTTTATTTCCTAATTCTATAATTTTGAAATAATAATTAGTGAACACGAAATAATTTAAAGTTTTATAAAAGTTTATTCTTGTGAAGATCTTTTGCGGATTAATCATTAAAATATCCAATCGAATAAAGCATTTAATAAGCATAAGTATTGCTCATATTTTATAATATTCATTTCCTTGAACACTTTATATATAATAAATTCTATATTTTTCTGTTACAGAATCAACTTAGCTGACTCCGCTGCTGCGCGTCGGATGGTAAGTAAAAAACTTTTTTATTAAGGCAACGTATCTACACCCTGGTAAAAATAAAAATTGGAGCGTAAATCGAACGTAAGGGGAGAGCGACAGGAGCGTAAACGAAATGTGTAGGAAGCGTAATTTGGAACAGCGAAGCGTAAAAGAAACGTTTGAGGTTTCTTTTACGCCTCGCTGTTCCAAATTACGCTTCCTACACATTTCTTTTACGCTTCTGTCACTCTCCCCTTACATTCGATTTACGCTCCAAATTCTATTTTCACCAGGGCATCTCGTAGATCGTAGATTGTAGTTCGTAGTTTGTAGATTAATATATCTCGTAAATACGTTGCCTCAAAATGGATAGAGTACAATTTCATTTCATATTTATTATTACATATTTTATCTATCGAAAGGGAGTAATCGTAATTTTTACTGTGGAGGTTCGGGTGCCCCGTTGCAGCGCATCACATATTTTCACTTGTAGCCTATCCATTTTGCATTAACAAATTTATGTGTAAAGTAAACCATGACGTGAGACTCTAATATTTTGTCGAATCTGTATTATTTTTATACATTATATGAGATTATTGATTAACTAGAATATTCAATTGTCGGTCTATCTATCGTACGGAAAGTTTCTTTTTTCTGAGTCTCACGTCATTTATTCTGTATGTGTATCTCGCACTTTCAAGATGCGTCTCGCATGAATACATGCACAGTTACACGCATCTTCGTATTTTCGCGGTCGATTTCGCGAACAGTCTTTCAGCAAATTTTCAACAAGTTATTGTTTAATTTCATTAATATTAAAAATTTTTATTTATCGCGAAATGTAATAAAACTAAATTTAACGCGAAGTAAATTTTTTTTCCTATATACATACATACATATATACTTAAATTTCGGAGATTGAGTCACGACGAGACAGTCATTATCGATTCTTGATTAAATAACGGAAGTAAAAATATATTTGATTAGTTTTATGCAGCAAATTTTTTAAATTAATTTTCTTCTTTAATTAACTTCTCGTGGTCGTGTATTTCGATACGATCGACGCTCGCATGTAGTTCGAACCGTACGAAATATCTGTCGGTGATAAACCGACTATGGAAGGAGTTTTCTTCCTTCCTGATTTCTGGTCGAAATGACCAGACTGTATGGCCAGGAGCAACGAAAGGTATGTCCAATCTGGCCCAACGAAGAAGACCTACGGCGAGTGGTCAATATTGGCCACTGTGATGGAGTACGTCAGGCGATGTACAAAATAAGTTCATTTCTTTAATTTGTTAAAATTCGGGTGGGTTACTTTTCTTTATATATTCTCGCATATACGCGGGATTGAAATCTCAATTAAAATCCCACGCGCGTGTTAAACTCCAAATCGAATCCCTGAAAAATTACGCGTGTTTACACTCCAAATCAGGTCCCAAAAATCCCGTCGTGATTTTATTAATTAAAACTTTGTAGGTTCATCATATTGAAACACGCCGCGGATAGATAGAAAATGGATAGGTAGGACTCTAGTGCGAGATTAAAAAGACCCCTATTAAATCCCAATCGCGCGCGTATAATCACAAATCGGACCTCTTATAAATCGCGTCGCGGTTTTAACGAAAGGGCAGGTTTATTAACAAAAAGTTGAAACGTCGATAAGTAGGAAAATGGATATGACTATACAGCGGAATACGGGTAGGTAGGAATTCGGGTAGGCAGGGACAGTGGGACATAACTCCATATTTAAAAAAATAGATAAAATTATAAATGATGATTAGAAACTTTACATTGTAATTTTGTTGTGTTAATTTTAAATTTTACAACATTAGTTGTAAAAATTAGAAAAATATAATATTAAGTATACATTCGGATGCATGTAATAAGATAGAAGTTGTTATGCGTTTTTTAAGTTTTTACTTTAAATTTACTTAAAATTTTTGTCCCAAACATGCAATATGTACATATTTTACATTGCAAGAATTTCACATTATTGTATGCATACCGAATATTTCATATGTAATGTCGAGAGAAATATTGTATTGTACAGATATTATATTTTTAATTTTAAAGTGTAATTATTTCTTTTCTAAAATTGTATGTGTATTTTAAAGTAAATTAGAAGAAAAATGAAATATACATATAATAAAAATATAAGAAACCAAATTGTAAAGAAAAGAGGACTGTCGATTAAACGCGGCGGGGGTGGTGGAGGGCCTCTAGATAGGTCGATTTCTTTCTATCAAATAAAATTTTAGTTCAATTTGATTCACATAGACTTTTAATCGATAGAGTTTCGTTTGCAATTAATCGATAGATTTGCCTTTACAGTTTGATTTTTCGTTTGTACATTAGTAAAAAATGTTGTACCATTATAAGCACAGCCACATATGTAACACGTTGTGTGAATTGTGTAACATTTTGTATTAATGTTTTACATTTTAAGAGTTAGGTATGTTATTGTAAACACACACATGTCACATGTTTATCATGTTTTCAGTTTCGTTATGTAACTTTCTCTCTCTTTTTATATTTTTGTATATATTTCAAAATAAGTTGTGAAAAGAAATTAATTAAATTATAAAAATGTAAAAACGCGATTCTATCGTAAACAAAAGAGGACCGCCGATAAGAATTCAGCGGGGGTGGTGGAGGGCCTCATATTTTTGCAATGCACTTTCAACGTAAACACAATACCGTGCAATTATTGATACGTAACATTGGCGTTACATTAGCATTTATTCTATATTCAATATTACAATTTTATTGGGCAATCTTGGCCAATACAATCAATCGATCGCGAAATATTTAATTATCATCGAGGTACAATATCAGTCAATAATTTGCATTTATTTTATAATAAATATTGGTGTTATATTGAGGAAATATTGGCCAATGCACTGCCAACATAATCAATATTTAACCAATGAATGAAATACTGAATGAAATACGAACGTGCTTTATTGTAGTCAACTTGTCCCGATAGTAGAAAAATGTATCCATTGGATATATTCATTACATATGTAATAGATATTTATGTTCTGTAAGAGAATAGACAAATAAATAAATGAAGGACTTAGAAACCACGGTCTTACATACAAGTCTGGAAACAACAGTGGTGAGGGTTGACTCTCTTAACGTTCCCGTTTTTACTACTTGACGCACAGTGACAATAGCGTGAACGAAAACCTACCTCCTTAACGGAGACATCCCCACGACTGAATTTTCGATGTCGTTTCCAAACCTGTATATACGACCGTGTTAGAAACGAAATTTTTCTAAACAAAATTATATTTATTAAGATAGGTGCTTAATTACATATCAGCTGAGAAGTAATGAGAAATAACAAAAATGAGAAAATTTTTCAGGTATTAATATTTTTGATAATGTGTGTGAGAACAAAAATATTTTGATTTATAATTATACTTTTGACAATATGATGCACGAAACAAACCACATTCCACTGATGGCAAATAATTACATGTCATCGTCTGAGTTTAACGATACCATTAACGTAACATAGGAAGCGGACGTTTTCATCAGCTTAAACATATAATGTAATATTGTATGTATGTTTTTAAAATATAATTTTAAATGCATAAAAGTAAATTAAATATTTTTATACGTTTTAAATATCACTTTCCAGATTATTCGTACAGATTTTAGATTAACTTATTTTTACGGCTATTATTTATAAATTGAACTTTATCATACCATGGTGTAACTTTCTAAGCAAATTACATATAATTTCCCCATAGTTATGCGATATGGAGTTTGACATTTCATTAATAGAAATAGCAACATCTTTTTTGTTTTCAAAGATGTTTGATACCACAATCCATTATATCTAAAAATATAGCTGTCAAATCAATGATGTCAAGGATTAGATTAATAACTTACGCTGCAACAGAAATCTGAGAACTGTGATCTATTATCCTCTGTCCAATCCAACTGTTACAGAAAAATCGAGTACATTGAAGAACCAGGAGAGGACCGTTTCTCACTAATTCCGTATGAGTCACAATCTGCACAATGACACATAAATTACAAGATTGGTTCAAGTCAATATATCAGGC